CCCACCAAGCCACACCACTACCACCAAGCCACGTCCACAGAACCGGTAGTAAAAGAAATTGAATTTCACCACCAGGTTTTTTTGTAGTTATTTCAAGCTGTGACTTGAGCAATAGGGAACTCCACTATTGTTTTATAATGGCTTAGCCAGAGTTCACTAAATGTCCTGGTTTTAGTCCCTGCCCTGACATTTCAAAAATAGGGAGTCTGTGTAGATTTTTTTTTTTAAATGTATTTTCTTCTGTTTTATGCCCAATAGAATCCACCCCCCCTCACATACATAACTTCTGTAGCACACATGATCCACACCGGGTTAAACCTGGACTGCAAATTAACTCTAAATTCTATAGAGTCTTAGTTAATGTTTCACATCCTGTGTTTCCCCCCACCCCAAGGATTAGAACTCAGCCGCCTGGTGAAATTAAGACATGTGGAGGGCTCTTACTTTATTTAATGATGATTGAATCTTGTAATCTCTGCATCTACAACAGGCAATCAGGAAGTCTGTCCCATCGACGGCAGCCAGGTTTTCATTATGGGTTGTGTAAAAAAAGAAAAGAGGATGAATCCCATCATGCCGACTCCTTAATTTTATTGTCCTCATTAAAGCGTTTTGCTCGTGTAATGAGCAAGATAACACATTTCAAGCAGCATATACTGTATAATGAAAAAGGAAAAATAATGAAAAGTTAATTTTGTGTAAATTAAGAGGAAAAATACCTTGAGTTAAAATTAAAAAATATAAAGTTTCCTTCCGGGGATTTTGGAGATTAATAATGCGGTGATGAATGCCATCCTTATCCATTAATACTTTGCAGGGGGAAAAAATGTTGCTAAATACATGGCATTTTCCCAACCTGCAAGAATATATTTATTTAGGAGCTGTATGTATACGTTTATATGTACACACAAACATACATAGTGAAATTTCTTCAAGTGCATATAGGTAGTCCTCAATGTACGACCACAATTGAGTCCAAATTTTCTGTTGCTAAGCAAAATATTTGTTAAGTGAGTTTTGCCCCATTTTATGACTTTTCTTGTCACAGTTTTTGTTGTTAAGGGAATCAATGCAGTTGGTAAACTAGTAACACGGTTTTTTAAGTGAAACGGATTTCCCTGTTGATTTTGCTTGTCAGAAGGTTGCAAGAGGTGATCACATGACCCTGGGGCACTGCAACCCGTAAATATGAGTCAGTTGCCAATATCGGAATTTTGACCATGTGATCATGGGGATACTGCAATGGTCGTAAGTGTGAAAAACTCTCATAAATCACTTATTTCAGTGATGTTGTAACTTTGAACGGTCATTAAATGAACTGATGTAAATTGAGGACCACCTGTATTTACTATTTCCTTCCTCCAGCTGTTTTCATCCCCCAGTTTCACCCTAACCCCTGGAATTCCCCAGTGGTTTCCTATCCATGTAGTAATCAGCACTGACCTTGCTTAACTGTTGAAGACTAGCGAATATTGGTTAGGTTTTATTCCCTGCTGAAAGATGATTATTGTTTGCAAATAGCAACAGCACTTAGGCTTATATACCACTTTACAGTGCTTTACAGCCCTCTCTAAGCGGTTTACAGAGTCAGCATATTGCCCCCAACAATCTGGGTCCTCATTTTACCGACCTTGGAAGGATGGAAGGCTGAGTCAACCTGGAGCTTGTGAGATTCGAACTGCCAAATTGCAGTCAGCAGAAGTAGCCTGCAGTACTGCACTGTAACCACTGTGCTACCGTGACTCTTACAGATAGTCACTTAGCAACTGTTTGAAATTACAGCTGACCCCCCCGCCCCAGGATTTATGACTCAGTTCCAAAATTCCAACGGCTGTCCATAGTCACATGACCATATTTTAGGTAGTTGACAATCGGCCTGCATTTGCAGCTGTTTGCAGCATCCTGCAGTCACACACCTGTTTTTAGACATTTTTGTTAAAAACTAGCATTTACTTCCTGCTTTATCCAGAACCAGCCAATGGCGAACCATTGATTCACTTAATGATAAGCATTTACTTAACAGCGGCGTTAGTAGACTTTTAACCATGGTGTTTGCTTAATTATTGCCACAAAACAGGTCATAAAATTGGGTCAATCACATGGTTGAGCTGATTTATAACGGTCATGATTTATGACTGTGATGGGTAGGGTCTATTATGGTCATAAATTGAGAATGACCTGCATTGCAGTGTTCTTTTCCAGCCAGTCAAGGAACTGTGTCTTTTCCAAGGTATTCCATGTCGCTCCCATTCTACCATCCTAGTATCTTCACTTTCTTTTAACAGGCAATCCATTTTCCTTGGCCATTGAGCATGTCAAACACTGCCGGTTTGTTGTTTGTGTTAGAAATAAATTTTACCAAGTTTGTTTCTGAGCCAGAATGAAGACAGTTGCTTGAATGTGAGCTGAACTTTATTTCCAAGATTACGGTGGCTGCCCAGAGCCCTTCCCCAAGAGCTCTTTATAGGGAGAAAGACATGTGTGAAAGTGTGCCCACCCTGTAGGAATTCCAAGAAAGTGAACTTAGCTGTGTTTCCTAGAGGGAACGCTCAGACAATCTGCTTGGTTGCGGTTTCTGCTTATTTAGTATTGCAGTTGGAAATGGCAATCTCATCCGAGAAAGGATCTTTTGTTATTTAATTAAGAAGATCTCTGTTCACTTGGATAGGCTGGTGCTTTCTGCCACATTATAATCTTTGTCTTGAATCCACTGAAATTTCTCACCTTGTGTCCCAGTTGTAATTTTTAACCCTTTGTACCACAGGTGAGTGTCACATACTGTTACAACCGGTTCGCCCAGCACCAGAAATGTGAGTGCGCGCACCATCCATGCATATGTGCGGTGTCACAAAACATGGCAATTCACTCGCACGTACCATCCATGCATGTGTGTGGTATAAAAAACACAACAATTTGCTCACACACACCTTCCTCACGTGCGTGCAGTGTCAAAAACACAGCAATATAGGGCAGGATTATACCCAGGTGGGTAGGCAGGTGGGCAGGTGGGCGGGTCGCAGGTCGCAACTACCGGTTCGCCTAACCCAGTCTGAACCAGCAGCAGCCCACGACTGCTTTGTATTGATAAACAGTAAGAAAACTGTAGAGGTAGTTCTTGACTTATAACCACAATTGGGACTGAAATTTTAGCTGCTGAACAATGTGTTCATAAAGGAAGGCATGACATGACCACATTGCTCAATGACTGCAATCCTGGCACTTCCAGCTGCTGTTGTTATTTTTTTTTTTAATTGAAAAGTTTTACAAACATTTTAACCAAGTTTTAAGCCCCTCCTCCCTCCCCATTGCCCCTCCCTCCCCTCCCCCTTCTCTCCCCCTCCCCGACTTCCCAGAGCAAGATACAGGGTATTTCATTTAGCAATCTTAATCTAACATATGCTAATTATCTAAAATCCAGCTGCTGTTGTTAATTGATAATTTCAAGTTGTTAAGCAGAGGGAATCCCAAATAAGGAGCATACCATTCTTTCTCCAACTAGTGTGATTATTGCCATTTAAGTAAATTTCCTTCTCCAGATAATTATGCTATTTGGAGAAGGAATGGTGCACATGATTTGGAGAATGAGGTCTTCTGTGAGAACAGGGCTCCTGACATTTCTCCAAATAGTGTGCCCTATTTGGAGACCCGAAAGAAACCAGAAGGTTTCTGAAGGTTTCTGAAACATGGGGAGCATGACTTGGGGTATGCGGCTTGAAAATGGCGCAAGGTAGCAAAGTTAGCACAATTTTGGGAGCTCCCAAAAAAATGTTTATGACTTGGACTGAAAGGAATTTGGATCATACTGAGAAGACCAGCGATGGAAACAGATTTATTTGTTTATTTGATTTCTGTGGCCACCCATCCCAGCAACATACTCGAGGCAGAGTACATCATAAAAAACAATTAAAACCGTATGGAATAAATATATATAGCACCAGTAAACTTGTTACTATTGGTGTTAATACAACAAGGAAACACATTCGGCCTCTTGGCGCACTCGGGCCCCCTGCCTGGTTGCACATAGAAGATGTCAGCCTACTATCAACCTTACCAGGTAGATTAGTCAGGAACACAACCAAATGAACTACCGTGTTTCCCCGAAAATAATACCCTGTTTTATATTTTTTGAACCCTGAAATAAGTGTTTGGCCTTATTGCCATGCACTCCAAAGCCCGATTGGGCTTATTATCAGGGGATGTCTTATTTTGGGGAAAACAGGGTAATTCTATTTTATTGTAAGGCTACGTTAACAGATCTTTGCAAGTCTGAAAGAACAATTCTCCCTCTATCTCCTTTATAGCCTGAGAAACTAGGGAGGGTCTCACTGACCCTCTTTGCCCTGCCCTGTACAGCTGCAGGCTCTGCTGCCTCTTATCCAATTGTTCCCTAAACATTCTCCCAAGGTTTTTCCAACATACCATTGTATCTATTGCACCTAGATAGGCAACTTTGAAAAGATGTCTGACTATTTACTGACAAGAGAATATATGATTTATTAAATCTTTATAACTTACTATTCTGTCTCTGGCACTAAATATTTATTTTTGTTCCTTAGTGTCAATTAGTGGTTTCATTTGGTCCATTAACCTTAATCATATAACAACAACAACAAAAAGGCAAAACAGCATCAACAACAATTAAAAAACAAATGTTGTTTGTACATATCCCTCACTCAGTCTTCCTAGCTCAAACTCTTTGCTGATGTCAACCCTATGAGGTAGTCCATACTAGGAAACCACAGGTCTGGAATCAAATGCTACTTGTATTATAAGGTTATAGTAACAGAATCTTGCAAATCTGGATGTTCCTCTCTTTTCGCTGCCTTTACATTGAAGAGAACTAGGGAGAGTCAAATCTGAGGCACCTTTTCAAATTACATTCCTTGCTTTGAACTCAGATTTCTTTTCCCATTGTCTTGATTGCAGCTCGTCTTCCTATTCCTCAGTTATTCCCCCAGTCCATTACAACTGATGAGTTTTCCTTCTGCTTATCTTTACAGCCCCACCCACAGTGAGGATTATCCATTCGGGCCTCGCCTGTAACATTGAAGAGGAGCGGTATTCAGAAAGAGTGTACACCATCCGTGAAGGGGAGACCCTGGAGCTGACGTGTTTGGTTACAGGCCATCCCCGGCCACAGGTGAGCCTCCTGCTGTGATGATTTGCATGGTCTATCCACCCTGATTTTCTCTTCCATAGGTTTTTGTTATCTACCTTGGGTTGCTACTTCAGAAAATAGAGAATTGGCCACAGAAAGCTACTGTATGTCTTCCTAGGGTGATGATAGCAAGATTTTTCTAGGATGTTTTGAGATATACATGGTAATATTAATGTAGAGTTAAGGTGTACTTTAGGAGTGACATGGTGGCTCAGTGGCTAAGACACTGAGTTTGTCGATTGAAAGGTTGGCAGTTCAGCGGTTTGAATCCCTAGTGCCACGTAACGGGGTGAGCTCCCGTTACTTTTCCCAGCTTCTGCCAACCTAGCAGTTCGAAAACACATAAAAAATTCAAGTAGAAAAATAGGAACCACCTTTGGTGGGAAGGTAACAGCATTCAGTGCACCTTTGGCATTTAGTCATGCCGGCCACATGACCACGGAGACGTCTTCGGAGAGCATTGGCTCTTCAGCTTTGAAATGGAGATGAGCACTGCCCCCTAGAGTCGGGAATGACTAGCACATACTGTATGTGCGAGGGGAACTTTTACCTTTTAAGGTGTACCTTGATTGTACAAAGAATGATTTGTACAGAGTGGATCCAAATATTTTGAGGTAGAGACTCTGAATTCTCCCATTCAAAACCAAGTAAGGAAAACAGGGAACAACACTGGAATTTTCTTAGAAAGGGAATATTGGTGTCCTGGAAGAAGGATTTCAGCTTTTTCAAATCTCACAATGTCCTTTATATTACCTCAGGCCTTTTAATGCTGTTGTATTTCTGCTACTGTGTGGTGTTTTAAGGAATTCTGTGTTTATCTCTGCTCTTTTTTCTAAACTGCCCTTTGGATTGCTTTTTAATAGCATTTCTCCAGTTTTCTTGAGTGGAAAAAGTCGTGGTTTAATTGCTTGTTTGGTGCTTATTTTTGTTGACCAGAGAGTAAGTGTTTCTGAATGCTCGTTTCATTGAAAACTGTAAACAGTAGCCGTAAATGGTCAGCATTAAAGAGCAACTAAATGAAAATGGGTGAATTGTGACCACAGTGCCTGAAAGCAAGAAACTCTAAGTAAAGAGAATTGTGCTTATTTTAACTTTCCTTTTTTTGTCTCAGTTCTGCATTTTTAGATGTTTTCATGCAACAAAAATTGCACTGAATAATGATGTTTTGGCAGACAACTTTGCCTTTCGTTCAGTATTGCCCTTAACACACACAATATTGTGTACATTTTTAAAATTCTGTAGCCATTGTTTTGATTACGGTATTACCTTAGGGTATTGAAAGAAGTACAGAAATCTTCTGCATCAATGAATCAATGAACCAAGTTTATTTATTAGTTTTGGAAGTGCTAACTAGATTAATTTACATTTAAAAGCTAACAGAAAACACAACAAACATAAAGGAGTTTATATTGCTCAGTCTGAATGGGGCACATTGTTATTGATATATTTCTTAGTTTATTAAGATTCCTATCCCCACTTGTCATCCAAGAATTAATGGTGGCATTCATGTCCATTACTTTTTCAATCTTATTTCAGAGATTTAAGAGGGCAATCACAGCAGAACCATCCATTGAAAAGATTGAACATGTTTTATTAGAGGTAGTCTTTGATTTACAATTGGGACCAGAATTTCTCTTACCAAGCAAGTTTTTTTTTTAAGTGAGTTGTGTCTGATTTTACAACCTTTTTTGCCATGGTTGTTAAGTGAATCATTGTAGTTGTTAAACAAATCATGCAGCCATTAAACAAATCTGGCTTCCCTCATTGACTGTGCTTGTCAGAAGATGGCTGGGAAGGTACAAATGGGATACTGCAACCATCATAAATATATACCAATTGCCATTGGCTCAAATTTTGATCATGTGATTATGGGAATTCTGCAATGGTCATAACTATGAGGACCAGTCATAACTAATTTTTGTTAGTACCATTGTAATGTTGAAGGGTTGCTAAATGAATGGTTATTAATCAAGAACTACTTATATGCCTTAAATGTTCATATTACTGGGAATGTTCCTTCTGAAGCTGATTTAAAGAACAAACTTTGAATATGTTTTGCCTTTATGTCATATTAAACATGTGATCAAGTCAAAGTATTGGATGGCCTCGTCATTTCATCTGCTGAGTGCTGGTTGCAAACTTTTTAAAAAAGCTAAATAATCATAAGTTCCATTCTATGGTTTTAGAAGCAAAAGGTTCAATCTAGTTTAAAGATAGACAGTTGAGAATATAAATTCAACCCACACATTGTAGATTGTCTTTTTAGCTGTCCTGTTCATGGTTTACATTGATCCTGATCATTTGCCTATTCTTAATTTCTGGTAGCAACTAGAAAAGACTGACTGTCCATTAAAGTGGAACTAATTATCAAAAATCTCAGTTTGTTGCCAAAGTCCATGGCCAGTTTTAATTGTCCTTCTGTACATTTTGTGCATCCTATCAGGCTACATATATATATAGAGAGAGAGAGAAGAAAACTCTGTACACAGTTCAGAATTTGCTGCCTGGACTTATTTCTTTCCATCCACTATAAATGAAATAGGAATGAGATACACGTTCAAAGCTAACGGGATTTGAGGAACTAAGTCTCTTGATACATCAGGATGACTCACTAGTCTTGACCTCAGCTAGCTCAGGACATTGCAAAGTAGCTGGGCACTCACATTCAATAGTAAGCAAGGTCATAGACTGACTGGCAATCCAACATCTCTTTTGATAATAGACAAAGGCATCAAATAGAAATGGTATCCAGGGGGAATTCCAGAAGCACTCCAGGGGTCAAGTGACTGAGGTCCCAGAAAGCTATTTAGAGTCCATGGCCAATGCATAATTACTGTTTCAGCACTGACATCAACAATGACTACTTTTCTTTTACAACGAAAACCCTAGGCTGGCTAATTATGAAACTAAAGCTCTTATGAAACCAAGTCCCAACTGCCAGGCATCTCAGAAGAATTTTTAACTTGACCTTAGTCCAAAGGCCAACAAGCCACTCTATCTTGTGAGTCAATCTTTATTTACTCATTAGAAGATTTAGTCCATTATATTATATCCATTACGTAAATTCTATACCTACATCTGATCGTGCATAACCTAGAAAGCGTCTTTTATTCCTTCTCAACCAATCCCTTGTTCAGTTCAACTCTCCCTTATAAAATGAATGAGTTGGTTGACATGTCTATTCCCTGCATTCTTTGAGGTTCATCTTTGCTTTAGAAAGTCCACATTACTTTCCTCCTTGACAAAACAGCACACAATTTTGTCAGCTGCTGTTATATATTTTGAGTATGGATTTAGTGTTTTTCTGGAATATTGCCAAAGTCAGGAGAGGTTTGGTGTTTGTCTGGAACAGTGCTAAGACCACGTCCATCTCCTTCTGAAATGTGTTAAATCCGTGTCCATAAAGAGCCCAACTATCCAGAAATATCATCTGACAGTCAGGCTTTCATTGAACAGAGCCACACAAAACACTTGCACAAAAACAGTATGAGTAGAACAATGAACTAGCTGTGTTTAGTTGTCCCAAATGTGCTTTTTCAGGAGACAATTAGACTTTCTTGTTTTATCTTTTGAAAACGTTTCCCTTCTCGTCCAAGAACCTTCTTCAGCTCTGATAGTGTAGTGGGGAATGGAAGGATATATATTCTTTGCAGACAGTTGGTCATTTACATCCTTTTAGAGGGTTGTTGAAGCACTTGGAGGTTTATCTGTGTCCTCAGTGTCACCTGAGTAGTGCTTCTGGTTCCTGTGATCTGCAATTTTTTTCTCTGGAAATCCATTCCTACTCCCACACCATTCAAAAGGTGTTCCCTGGGGATGACTGAGAAGCTCTACAGACTTTTAGCTGGTTTAGTTGTGTCAACATTGATCTCCTGATCAGATCTAGTCCTTTTCAATAACAGTGCTTAGGAGATATTCACTTATCGGCTGGCAAAAACTGATGCTGATGTTTCTTGGAATCAGTTAGAGCAGAAATGTAGTAGAGAATACTAAACAAGGAAGCTTGGATAGAAGTTGCTCATTAACAAAAGGTAAAGAAGAGTTAATTTTGAGGGAGATTTTATCTGTATTTGGTGAGTTTCTGAATGCAGGTAGTCCTCAACTTACAACAGTTCATTTAGTGACTGTTCAATGTTAAAATGGCACTGAAAAAAAATATTTATGACTGGTTTTCACATGTACGACCATTGCAGCATCCCTATGGTCACATGATGGTTCATATTTAAGACAGTCGTGGTGTCCCAGGACTGTGTGATCATTTTTTGTGACCTTCTGACAAACAAAATCAATGGGGAAGCCAGATTCACTTAACAACCATGTCACTAAATTAACAACTGCAGTGATTCACTCAACAGCTGTGGTAACATGGAGGAAAACTTACTTAACAAATGTCTCACTTAACAACAGAAATTTTGGGCTCATAAGTCAAGGACTATCTGTATTTCTGAATGTTTTTTCTTGGACTAACTACCAAACATCCAGCATCCTAGCAACTACAGGGTGTAATCAGAGAGCCCTTAAGAGGAAAGAGGGGCTAACATTCAAACTTAAACAGTGGCACTTGTCTAAAATATGCAAAGCGGAAGAAAAAGAAAGAATAGAACTGACCTTACAAAGTATATTTAAACATTCAGCATAAACATAGATTCAATTTAAATAAATATACCTATGCATTCTAAACTGGATAGGAAGAGAACTGGATATCTGGCAGAATACATGGTGATTGCTTATCTGATTTAAAAGCTATGAATGCTGTGCTACATTTAGATATTTCTAGGCATTGCTGGAAAAAATCAGAAGAATATAGTGAAATATGCTGTGTATCAGTGTTTGCATACAAATGCTGGAAGTCTGCAGGCTGATCTTGGAAGCCATTATTGACATACTGGATATAACTGAAATCCAGACAGGGAATCTCCTGGTCCCTCAGATGATGAAAAGTGGCTAAGAGACAAAAAGGAAATAGCAGAGAAGCTGAATAA